GTGTGTGTGTGTGTGTGTGTGTGTGTGTGTGTGTGTGTGTGTGTGTGTGCGTGTGTGTGTGTGCTAGTTTGTGTGTGTATGTGTTTGCTTGCATATAGATACACGTGTATTCATATGTGAATATACATATTCCTTTCTTAGTATATAGATATGTATAGACATGCAAAACTTTAACTTCCAGAGCTCTATAGACATACCTGACAGCCAAACATGTCGGCATCTACATCGCGCGACCGGACGATTGGAGGGGAAGCCAACTCACTCGTCCTTAAAGAAGAATCATGGTGTACTCCAATAGGCCGTTGACCGCTGTAGCTCTTGCGCATGACAGTGCTGTCATCGCTATTCAAATCTACATCGTCGCAAAAGTTCGACGGCTCTCCGGCCTGTGCGTCTGCTTCAGCCATTGAAGACTTATCGTTTTAAACTTGGTAGACAGAGTCAGGTATTAACTATGAACGATAGAAAATCATGTAGAACACCACTTCGAATGCATACAGTGGCGTACACAGTTATCGATATACTATAACTATAGATACTGCAGATAGTTAAATGGTATTGATATGCCTCCTCTCTCCTCTTGGTATGTAGTTATTTTATGATTTTTGACAATATTACAAATTTACGACGTGTGACAAGAGTATAAAATTAAGAATGTAAGTACTAAACATGACTCGTTGGACAATGGACTCGTTCATGGCCTTCTCCATTAATCACTCATTGGACAGAAAGACTTCAAAAAAATTGTTCAGGCCTTCTGGGCCCCAGCCCCCAGGGCCCAGGGGGTTTTCACTTTTCAAATTTCAGTTTTTGTCCTTAGCCTCCTTAAAAAAAAATTTAAAAAAGGAACATTGGAGACTAGTCATAACCTAAAATAATTATTTTATGTAGGACCATGTATGCTCTACTCTAGCTATTTATTAAATACTATTTATTAGTACATAGTAGCCTACTTACTACTACATACTCTACTCGGAGAGAGAGAGAGTAGGTTTTGTCACCAGGATTTTTCATTTCCCGAGGGGAACACCGAACAAGGCCGTGAACAAAAAAAAAACGTCAATTCAGGTTGGCCGTAATAAACGTTTTAAACGTAAACGTGAAAGATATTTTTATTTCTTTGTTTTGTCCTTTTGTCTGTTTTTTTTAATAAAAACAACTACGTCAAGTTCTTCTACTATTTAGACCATCGCCTTCTAGAAGACTATAGCAATAAATATGTATGTCATGAATACAGTGTACGCAATCCATATTATGTTCATCACACGCGTGTCTATTGTAGCGAATTCACATCAAGTATGAGTGGGGCTCCCAGTAGCTCGCGAACACCAAGTTCGGTCACGCAGACACAAGTTGAAACACTGACTCAAACGCAGACTCAAACAAACACACAGACACAGACTGACAGTGCCTTTGTCCTGGACTTGCACAATCAAGAGGGTGAACGTTCTGTGAGTTGGACCAGTGACACTGTCGACAACGAGCTGATGAACAGAAAGAAGTCCAAAAGTATGTAACTGTGTAATCCCAAAAGAATGGTTTCTGAATAGTAGCTATTATTTATAGTATATGCTATTATTTATAGTATATGCTATCATTTATAGTATATGCTATTATTTATAGTATATGCTATTATTTATAGTATATGCTATTATTTATAATTTATGCTATTATTTATAGTATATGCTATTATTTATAGTATATGCTATTATTTATAGTATATACTATTATTTATAGTATATGCTATTATTTATAGTATATGCTATTATTTGTAGTATATGCTACTATTTATAGTATATGCTATTATTTAGTATATGCTATTATTTATAGTATATGCTATTATTTATAGTATATGCTATTATATATAGTATATGCTATTATTTATAATTTATGCTATTATTTATAGTATATGCTATTATTTATAGTATATGCTATTACTTATAGTATATGCTATTATTTATAGTATATGCTATTATTTATAGTATATGCTATTATTTATAGTATATGCTATTATTTATAGTATATGCTATTATTTATAGCATGTACTATTATTTATAGTATATGCTAGTATTTATAGTATATGCTAGTATTTATAGCATATACAGTCACACTCTCGTAGAATTGCAAATGCTGTATTTGTACTACAAATAACAACGTTTTATATTCTAGCATTGGGGAATATTTAATCAAGTTTTCTAATCCACGGTGTAGGATATGGCTTTAATCACAGTGTGCACACACTTCAACGACTTAGTGTTTTGTTGAATTCCTTTCAAATCTCGGTTTTAAAGAGCTTATTAGAATTCGTCGCAGTGCAGAAAAAATCTGTTTGCCGATGCACAGTCTATGGCATAGCTATATATTTCTAGTTTGATATATATATATATATGTGTGTGTGTGTGTGTGTGTATAGATGTATCTGTGTCTCTGTCTCTGTCTCTGTCTCTGTATCTGTGTCTCTGTCTCTGTCTCTGTGTGTTTGTGTCTATGTATCTGAATCCGTGTCTCTGTGTGTGTGTTTGTGTCTGTGCGTCTTTGTGTGTTTGTGTCTATGTGTCTCTACGTGTCTGTTTGGGTGTGTCTATGTGTCTCTGCGTGTCTGTGTGTTTGTGTCTATGTGAGTGTGTGTCTGTGTGAATTGTATTTCTGCGTTTCTATTTGTTGTGTGGTATACATTCTTGGTACCGCATTTCCACCTATTTGACGGGTTATACTCAGTTCTCTGTATCACTGCGTGCAATCTGTCCTCGAAACAGAATGCTGCATATTTCAAAAGCAAAGGGCCTTCGATGAGAGCTCGACAGAAAGTGACAGTAGTTCAGAGAGCGATGGAGGACCGGTACATGGTGATGATGGCGGCAAAAAGAAAAAGAAAACGAAGCATACGGTACGCAAACAATGTAAGCACACGACCGGTAATACGTACGAGCCGGATGGTGGTACTCCAGCGACGTGATAGTCGAGGAAAGATGACGAAAGATATCGCTTTTCTTCCGTCAGTCAGGAAGTAGTTTTAAAGTAAAATAGACCACGCTGTGTGATAATTGTCCACATATGTTAACATAGTGTTCTTTTACCTGTATAGATGTTGGGGTAATTGTAAGGTGATCTACGCTTGAACACGCGAGAATGCCATATTCGTGAATATAGATAGAAAAAGCTGTGTGCATTTACATCGAAAGATGTATAGTATTCGCTTGCGTACAGCTCTACATCTATTCGCGTACAGCTCTATATCTATTCTTATGTATATATAGAAGCGTACAGCTCATTTATTGTATATAATACCTGTACTGTAATTTACATATATATTATAAACATATATATATACATATATATATATATAAATATAAATATACATATATATATTTATATATATATATATATATTTATATATATATAATGTTCGTAAATGAATAGTAATTTCATTCATGAACATTTATATAAATCTGTGTCTGTTCCTGTGTCGATGTGTGTTTCCGTGCGTTTGTGTCTGTGTCTGTTTCCATGTTCCTATGTGTTCACTTGCGTTTGTGTATGTCTTTGTATCGATGTGTCTGTGTGTATTTACACCTATATGTATTTATATGTATATACATTTGCATATGCTTCTGCTTGTATAAGGATATCTATATATATATATATATCCATATCTATATCTATTTATATATATATATATTTATCATATATATATATGTATGTATATTTGTATATGTATGTGTATTTGTATGTGTATATGTATATATATGTATATGTATATATATGTATATGTATATATATATATATATATATATATATATGTATATATTATTATTATATATGTGGTGGGTGGTGGTCGTGTGTGTTGTGGTGGGTGGTGTGT